TTAAGCTGCAGATTCTTTGTAGCCATGTGTTCAGCCCAAGCAAACGTGAAAACATATTAGTTCCTCTTGCTGGGAGTGGCCCACTGATGAACGACTGAACTTTAAGTCTTCGAAGTGTTTCAAAGAGTTCACTGAAATCCTTCTTAAGGAGTTCTGACTGCTCTTTCCGAATATCATTCTTCCCCACATGGATGATGATCACATCTGTTCACATCAGAGACAGTTGCTGGAGGAAAGTAGCATGTAGTTGTAGTCCTGGTACTAATGTTTCTGATAATAGAGTCGCCCACTATCGAGTCCTGAGCTTGGCTGCACTCTGAGCTGAATGCCCCTGTCTGCTTGACCTTGAGCGTCTGTAAGTAGCGGTGTTAGCTGGTGTTAGCTGCTGACTGATACGATCCATGTTCAGTGACATTTGGGGATTCCTCACCCACATTCATTAATGCTTCAAATCTGTTCTCAAGATGTATAGGGGGAGGTAGAATACCAGTATTCACAAGCCTCGTCATAGCCGTATCTGGGGTAGAGGATGTTACTGCAGCAATATGAGATACTCATGACAATCTGATGTCTTGAGTGCCTTTGGGTCTCGCTCCCTGTTTGTGCCATCGATTAATCCATCAATTAGTTCGGCTTGTTTCTCTACTCTTGGTATAAACTGTTGAGATTCACAGGACTCACCTGTGAATGCTGAGGGAGTCCATGACGACGGTCTGCTGAGTGTTCTGCCTGTTTTGGAAGTCCAGCAAGTAACTTTGTTTCAAGAACCGCAATCCTTTGTACAAGTCTGTGGCAGTTCATTCAGCAGGTAGATTCGACAAGAGGCATTTTCTTTCTCCTCTGTTTGAAATTAGGCAGCTGTTTTTTCCTGTCTCCGGAATGTAAGCTGCTGGCAGTGGGAGGCAAAAGTCCCCTTTTTCGTAGTATAAAGGCATAATCCTTCACCAAGTGATTTACTCGTCACAGTTTGATCTCTGTCCAAATGATAAGGTTCCCAAAACCATCAATTTCCAAATCAGAATGAGAATCCTGTTCCTTAAGCCAAGTTTCCGTAAAAGCAAGGCGGCATGCACTGCTTCAACAACACCGTTGTCTATTTTCACGTATAGCATGACAAATAATTAACTGCACTTCAAGTTTTCAGTAAATTAAAAATGAAACACCCAAAACTGTATATGGCATCATAATGACGACAAACTATATGTTTATACGTGAAATTCTGGAGGGGACATCGGATGGCATCGCGTGGTGACGTAATGACGTGTGCCATTAATCCAATTTATGTATGGAAAACGGGAACATGAAAGGATTATTCTAAAAGCAACTCATGTAAACATCTTAATCATAATATTGTCATATTGTCTAAAAAGTAAATAATTAGATTACTGATGTCCATGTAAACGTGGTCACAGAGAGCAAGTAAAAAGCTTTTTCCCCAGTTTGAATTAGCATGTGACTCTCAAGGCTTCCTTTACATGTGAAAGCATTTCCACACTAAGGACAGGTGAAAGACTATTCTGAAGTGTGAATACACACATGCTCATTAAATTGTCTTTTCTGAGTAAAACTCTCTCCACACTGAGAGCAGCTGAAAGGTTTTATTCCAGTATGAATTTTCATGTGATTCCAAAGGCTTGCTTTATGGTTGAAAGCGTTTCCACACTGAGAGCAGCTAAAACGCTTTATTCCCATATGAATTAACATGTGATTCTTTAGGGTTTCTTTACGTGTGAAAGTGTGTCCACACTGAGAGCAGGTGAAATGCTTTTCTGAGGTGTGAGTTAGCATATGCTCATTAAGTTGTTTTTTTTGTGTGAAACTCTTCCCACACTGAGAGCAGGTAAAAGGCTTTATTCCAGCATGAATTAACATGTGATTCTTCAGGCTTCCTCTACGAGACAAAGTCTTTCCACACTGAGAGCAGGTGAAATGCTTTTCTGAGGTGTGAGTTAGCATATGCTCATTAAGTTGTTTTTTTTGTGTGAAACTCTTCCCACACTGAGAGCAGGTAAAAGGCTTTATTCCAGCATGAATTAACATGTGATTCTTCAGGCTTCCTCTACGAGACAAAGTCTTTCCACACTGAGAGCAGGTGAAA